GTATGTGGTGCTGAGGATCGAACCAGGGCCGCATGCATGCCAGGCGAGCGCGCTACCGCTTGAGCCACATCCCCAGCCCCTCTATCCCCAGTATTAAAAAAAAAAAAAAAAGAGTGCTATTAGAATATAGGATGTGGGTGAGGCTCTTTCATTACCAGCTTCTCCACACCCAATTTCCACACTTTAACTACCACCTGCTCCTTTCCTGCCAAAATAAAAAGTTATTAATAACAAAGGAATGAAAATCAGAACATCCCTTTCTTTTCTGTTCACAATAAACCACACCAGGTTTCAATGGCTATGGCCAAAAGGAGAGATGTAAGTAGGGTTCAGAGCATGGGAAAAGGCCCTAAACCAGGGCTAGAGAAACTGAGTCTACTCTGAGCAGGGCCAAACCTCCAGAGCCCCTGAGAAACAGGGCATGAATCCCCTAGCTCTTGCCCCAACCATACCATCTTCCTGTTTTCTCATTCTACCATCCATTTCCCAAGTGTCCTAATTAAAGGAGGTGCTAGAGAAACAGGGAGATGATCACCTGTTATCAACCACCCTAATGCCAGGTAAAGGAGGCTTGGGGGGCGCAACCTCTTCATCTGTGGAGTCTGGGAGAAGCTCAGTTGACGGAGACACACCTGTCGCCTTGTTTAGAATCTCCATCTCTCGGTCTGTCAGGGGGAGCTCAGGCTGGCTGGAGAGACAAAAGAACTCAGGATTACAGAAGGTAGCACGGCATACTCAGGTCCTGAGGGGGTGAGAATGTGAGAGGGTGGGGAAGTGACGGGCCTTGGATCAGGAGCCTTGGGGTTCCAATCACATCTGATCACTGGTAAATTAGCAGGGCTTGGCCAAGTTTCCTGACTCTAACCTCAGTCTCCTTATCTGAAAATGGATTCTTTGGATTAGATGATCTAAATGTTCTCTAAAATATTCCAAATTAGGCAGGCACAGACCTATAATCTGAGCAGTGCATGAGGCTGAGGCAGGAGGATTATAAGCCTCAGCAACTCAGCGAGGCCCTTTCTCAAAATAAAAAATAAAAAAGAGGCCTTGAGACGTAGCCCCCAGGTTCAATCCCTAGTATAGGGGAAAAAAAAAATGCTCCAAATTCGTGTCTTAATTTCCCCCAGGGGCTCATAGTAGAAATTACACAAGGTATTAAAACTGTCCACATTGCCCTCAGTTTATTCTCTTGAGAAAACTAATATTAAAAACCCCAAAGCACTCTCAAGTCAAACTCCTGAAATCCATGTCCTTGAAATTTCTGGGTGTGAAATGAAGTTGCTCAGGAAATGCTTGCATTCAGGTGGCTGACAACAGGGAGTCACCTTCCTCCCCTGGATATACTTGCTCCATCCTCAGAAACATGACGGGGGTGGGGTGGGGGGGTGGCGGTATTAAACCCCAGACAGGCGAGGCCACACTTCAAAACATTAAAGTAACAGGTGTTCACCCAGAACCTACCACTGAAAAGGAACCTGGGTTCCCCAGCTGCCCCCCGACTGCCTACAGGCTCTCAACTGATCAAGTGAGGGCTGCCCTGACTGTGACCACCATGCCAGGAGGGTCTGGTCATCACTTACCCGTCAGGCTTGCCGGCTGGGGAACTGGGCTTTACTGGGCTTGTTGGAGATGGCCGCCCCTGCTTCTCGATGGTCAGCCTGACCAGCTCCTGCACCAGCATGGGAGAGAGGGACACACTGAGCTGTGCCACAGGCAGGGGCCTGTCTGGGCTCTACTGCCGAGTCCGCTTTTGTGCCCACACACTTCCTACGTAGCCCCTACGCATGGATTATCACTGTAGGTGACATGCATGGCTTCCCAAAATGGCCCCTGCCCTCCAAAAATACCTTCATAGCACGTCAAGGGGTTTCAAATGCATGAGACACTTCCTCTTGGAAGGGGAAATAGCGAACCCCACAGTCTAGAAATGACTGTTCATCACACAAAGTAAATTCCCAGCAGAAGAGATTCCCAGTGGGTTTGCGGGGATGGCGACTTTCTATTCTCTAAAGCCATCATGTCATGTGCTCAGGGACACCCACCTGGCTCAGCTGCTGGCTTTGGGTTTCCCAAAGTAAGCTAGCTGGCCTTGAATGTGGTGGGAGCTGGCGCTTAAAGAGGACTAGCTGGGGTCTTGGTCAAGGGACAGGGAGTCAAGGTCATTACTCAGAAATGACCTTAGAACAGGGAAGGAAGAAAGGAAATAAAAGAAAGAAGAAAAAAAGGAACTTTTTTTTAAGAGAGAAAGAGAGAGAGAGAGAGAGACAGAGAGAGAGAGAGAGTGTTTTTAATATTTATTTTTTAGTTTTCAGTGGACACATCTTTATTTTTATTTGTATGTGGTGCTGAGGATCGAACCCAGTGCTGTGTGCATGCCAGGCAAGCACGCTACCGCTTGAGCCACATCCCCAGCCCTGAAAAAAAGGCACTTTCAAAACAGGTCAAGGCCTCTGGTTTTCTCAGGTGGAATGCGTCCCCCAGGCTGAGGAACTCTGCCTCTGCTCCTCCTGTCTGCATATCACTCAGAGCATAGGCCACTTCTGTTACCCTACGTCCACTGCCCCCCACACACCACTTTTTTACTTGGATTGTCTTCAGTTACTCTGACCTACCCCAGACCCTGATAAGAGGAACCAGTGCACACACTTTTGTGTCCAACTTCTTCATTTAAAAGCTTTAGGGACATATAATTCACATGCCACAAAATACCCATTTGAAGCATGCAATTCTGTGTTTGGTGTCTGTACGTAAGAAATTCTGTACCTGTTCATAGTCGCCCTCGATTCCCCTCAACTCTGCCACTCTGGCAACCACCAGTCTACTTTCTGCTCTACAGATCTGCCTATTCCGTCCCTCTATGCTCAGCATGAACAGCCATGGTTCTGGGGAGCATGGGTGGTCTATTCCTTTGTGTGGCTGAGTAGCACTCCCATGTGTGAACACACACAGCTTCTTTATCCATCCTCTGTGGATGGACATGAGCACAGCTATGTCCACTTTCAGCATGGAGGCTACCTCTGAAGTTAGAGGGGATGGCAATGATGCAAAGGTCAACAGAACTATACTGTGCTGAGTCAGGGACTGCAGAGCCTCCAAACTGAAACCACGCCACAGGGAAATAGCAGCAGGTGATATGAGGAAGGCAGAGCCAACATCCTCCCCAGAGCCAAGATTCAAACCCTAGAAAAGAAGATGGAGATGCCAGAAGGAGCAGCAAAGGAGAAATTCACCAATGTCCACAACTGTGGTGATGATATAAGAAAGCACCAAGCTATGACATAATAAAATAGAAACCTCCTGATGCAGGCTGAGGGGAGCGTCACTCTGGACAGTGGATGACTGTCTCAAGATGACTACCAGGATGCATGCTGAGCCTTGAATATCTGCATTATAAGAACTCTCCCCAAGGAAAATGCTATGGATGTGTGCAAAAATCCACCCACCAAAGATGACTTCAGACCATTTGATTACATCTCTGCTAACAGGTACTGGTGATCTAAGTCATGAGAAAACCCAACCAGGGATCGCTCTCTGGCCATTAAGAATGAAATCACAAGAGCATGTGACACAGCAAAGAAAGATGCTGTAATACAGGCTCAAGAAAAAGAACAACCCCAGGAGGTACATGCATGTTTGGGGAACAAAATTAGGTTGAGAATTTATGTAACAGAAACAAGTATGACTGTGGAACATCCTTTATTTTGTTCCTATTTCCTGAAATGAACATACATTACTTCTGAAACAATAATTAAACAAATGCATGCCTCCAACAGCCCCTTAAGGCCCATCGGAGAACCAGATTCCGGCCACCCCACTCTGCAGCAGCTAACGTCTGCTTGTGGAGAAATGTGGGAGGTGAGGTTTCAGAGCCACACTGGCAGAGGAGGGAGAGCGTATGGCTCTGGTCATCATATTTACAAGTTAATACTCAAGGACAGCTTGCCAGCTGGTGACACAGACAGGAAGGACACGATGACAGGATAGGAAGAGACAGTGACTTGAGGGAGGTGGCCCCTGCACCCAGGGCCTGGAGGAGGTCAGGAGTGACAGTCTGTTGTGAAAGTTCATAGCTCAGCAGGGGTCAAAGCACCAGATGAAAGCCATGCAGAGGCTCCACTTTCAGGCTCACAAGTACAACACTGCGTGTTTGCAGTGGCTGACATAGGTACAAATTCCACCAATTCTTCCTGACTCATGAGCAATCACAATTAGCTTGCTATCTTTCTGGATAGGCAGCGTGACCTCCTGAAATGACAGGCACACATGCATGAGCGTGCCCAGGTTCCAAGGCAACACCAGGACTGCAGCGACATTCCCTAGGGCCAATCTACTGCCCAGACTTGAATGAGGCTGGAGAAGGAGCGGGCAGCTCTGCCTATCTACACAGAAGGCTCCAGTCTCAGCTTGCCATGACCATCTATCTCATGGAGGTAAGCTTGAGAACGCACACCATCTAGCAGCTTCCAACATCCCCACCTCACTGCCCACTGAAGGTCGTCCAAGCCCAGGACCTCCTCCTGAAGGCAGGATTTCTGAGTGACGGCAGGCCTTTCATTATCTGGAAGCACAAGTTAGGAAAGACTAAGATCTATCTGGACTGTGTCTACAGCAGGGGACTATAAGCGAGACCTACCACTAGTTTGCTGAAAACCAGTTTTCAAGACCTAACCAGGTTATTTGGAAAAGAAGCTTCCTAAATACATTATACTTTACTTCCATGTTTGCTTATTTATACTGAAAATGGCTGCAGAGAAGGAAGCCTTAAGTGACCTGCAGGACAACAGTAGGCTCTGGTGCTCAAGGAAACAGCATGATTATGCCTATCTGCCCCCATCCTCCTGGTGTCGAGACAAAGCCCTGTCTGGCAAAGGGGACATGCCACACAAAAAAAGGCTTTCCATAGGAGCCCATGGGCAGTGGCAACTCTGTATGATGCCCTGCCATGCTGCCCTGCCACACTGGCCCTCAAGGGCAGGGCATCCCGGGGGAGTCCTCAATTCATTGAAAAGCACACCAGGCTACAACCCAAGGTTCCCTTCCTGCTCACATTCATCATATACCCACCATCACTTTGTGGTCCTGTGAATCTCCTGGGTGCCCAAGGAGATGTGTGACCATAAACCAAGACCCAACCCTTTATCAGTTACTTCTTCACATGCCTTGGATCAGGTCTGGTAACCAAGTACAGGATTTTCCTGTAACTGAAACTGCATAATGAGATCAGAGGGGTGTCCAGTCCCAGTGACATTTTTATTGTAGCAAAAAGGGAACTTCCCTGGCCACATCCAAAGTGGTAATAATCCCCCTATATACTGGTCCCTTGTAATTTATCCCACCTCCTTTCATTTTCATTATAGTCCTAAGTGATGTGGATTGTTGTACCCATTTCACAGATAAAGACAGTAAAGCATGATAACCTGTCCTGGAACTCAGTCCTGCAACTTCTGGCTGCCTGGCAGCAAGATTGACTATCCCACTCGGTGGCATGTTTCTACACTCCAGAGAAGAGAGCAGAGAAGCATCCGTTGTAGCTCAGTGCTGAGCTAAATGCTAGAGTGCATGAGCATGTGCCCATTCCTGAAATAGACAAAAAGCAGGGCTACTTTCCACCAAGCCAGGATTCCTAGAGCCTCAACAGCTGCATGGAAAAGCTACCCGGGATCCTCATATGCAGAGAAGCACAGGAATCTTTGCTGAAGAGCCTCACTTGAATAAGATCCAGAGAATTAGCCTGAACCTCAAATCTGCCTTCAAGGAAAAGGCAGCTATGTATAGAGGGTCCCAGGCCTGGGCCAACAGCTCAGAGGCTTAAGGACTTGCTAGCCCCACAGATGTATTTACTCCTGTACAAAACGAGGATGCTGCAGTTAGCTTTGTCTCTCGCCGAAGGCTACTTTGGTGGGACACAGGGCATAGAAGTGCTCAGAGGACTGTAATTTACAATGCATGCTTTGCAAAATTGCTCAACAGGAAAACCACAGCTCAAGGTGGTAGTCAGGACCCTTGGAGAACCATAGTTACCTGGCCTTGTTGTCACAGCCATAAATTGCGCCTGCCCACCCAGCTCCACCTAAGACACATTCAGCCTAAAGACAAGGAGCCACAGGTGCTCTCAAGTGCCACCCTGCAGGGTGAGTGTGGCCTAGAAGAGTGCCAGGTGTTGGAAACTAAAAATGTAGTTGAGGCAGGAAGCTATGATCCAAGTAAAAAAAGGCTTTAGGAGCTGGGTTCAGTGTGGTGCACACCTGTATTTCCAGCAACTCAGGAGGCTAAGGCACGAGGAGTGCAAGTTCAAGGCTTCCCTCAGCAACTCAGCAAGGCCCTGTCTCAAAAATAAAAAGGGTTGGGGATGCGGCTCAGCTTTAAAGTGTCCCTAGGTTTGGGGCTGGGGATGTGGCTCAAGCAGTAATGCCTGGCATACTGGGGCGCTGGGTTCGATCCTCAGCACCACATAAAATAAAGATGTTGTGTCCACCGAAAACTGAAAAATAAATATTAAAAATCAATCAATAAATAAATAAAATAAAGTGTCCCTAGGCTCAATTCCCAGTAGCCCTCCTCTTCTCCCCTTACCACCAAAAAAAAAAAAAAAAAAAAATGCTACAGAAGCTCTGGATAACTGTGGATTCTCTGGACCTTTGTGAGTCAGCTCCACACCCCAGGCCCAAA